TTATTTTATTGTATTGTTTAGGATTTGTTATACATCATTCTGGGGATTGACTTATTTAAAAGTTTATATTTATAAATCTGAGTCAATATACATTCATTTTAAAAATGTTACTGCCTTATTTGTATGCTGCTTTTCAATGAAAATGGTTCTCTAAGCATAGCCTATGCAGCATTCACCATGCCAGAGGTAGATACAGACTACTATATCCCATTGATAAAGTGAGACAAATAGTATTTTCTATATGTGACTCTAACTACAGGAAAGGAGATTCCACCTGAACATTAGGAAGAACTTCCTAACAGGAAGAGGTGTTTAGCAGTGGAATTCTCTGCCTTGGAGTGTGGTGGAGGCTCCTTCTTTGGGGGTTTTTAAACAGAGGTTGGATGGCCATCTGTCGGGGGTGCTTTGAATGTGATTTTCCTGCTTCTTGGCAGGGAGTTGGAGTTGCTGGCCCACAAGATCTCTTCCCAACTCAGTGATTCTATAACTGCGTTCCAGTGTCTCAGTACCGAATTTATGTATTTTGAGTCCTTAGAATGTTTATGTATTTAAAATGTAGCAGTCAATAAACTCACTTTACATTAATCTAAAAGAATTACAACAATTTTAAAAAAAGAACAACTAAAACTAAATAAAATGCAGGTTGACTGAAAACCAAACCATATGAATACTCCAATGAACCAACTGGTTTTAATTTTGGTAGTCAAGTAAGAGGACAAACTAGCTCTAAATGTGGTGAGATTCTAGTTTTTTATTTTAAACTGCTTTTTCAATCTGAAATGTAGAAAGGTGCTCTGAACAAGCCATTAAAATGTAACTTTACAAGCTCAATATTCAACAGGTTTAACAATTACAAGTAACAAATGAAAATACAGAGTGCATATATAAGACATAAGACTGCCATGCAGTAATGGCGGGGGACAGTCCTCAATAACCAAACTAGAATAGAGATTGTTACTACCAATTGTTACTAGTAATTTGAGTCAATGTTGAAAATTCTAAAAAAGCATGGAAAAAGTTTTAAAAGTAAGTCTTGTGCCATGGTTAAGACTACCAGGTTAATTTCAGCATCAGTTGTTTGAAGATTGCTATTGACTTCATATGCCTTGATGAGGTGACTTGTATGCAGTGCATTTCAGGAGGCAGACTGTAAACAGAGGAAGTATCTCAAAGGTGCTACAAGGCTCTTTCGCCTTCTTTCCCGACTTTAAAAAAAACTGAAAAAAACTGTGAATTTGACAGTTGCAATGAAGTAGAAAATACTGTAAGGTATTTATTTAAATGAAACACTTTCTTTTTAAACTCAAATGGTCTTAAAAACAACTAGATTTTTCTTTTAGTAGGTAAACATTTTATTGTTATTATCATTATGATAATTATTTTATATAGTATAATTACTGCATAATTGTTTTATATAGTATCTTTACTGCATAATTATTTTATATAGCATCAACATTATGGTGATGATTTGGTAAAACGTTCATAGCATTGAGCCATGGCAGTGAAAAGTGGCACCAAACTGCACTAAATTCTACAGATGCTATAGATCAGTGGTTCCCAGCCTGTGGTCTATGGACCACCAGTGGTCCATAAGACTGAAAATATGGCCTGCAGCCTCACCATTAATACACCATTGCCTCGCAACCACGCAGCAACGAGAGCAACCAGTCTCGCAAAACCGAAGCAACGGGGATCTCGAGAGGGGAGAGGCTGACTACCCATGAAAGATTACTAACTACCACATCAGCTCTAGATTATTAAATATGGTTTTCTGTGGGTGAGCAGATGGTGACTACTGGATGGCATAGGTTCTGTATCAGAAACTAGAGCTGATGTGGTCTATCCAATGCAATTTTCTGAATCAGCACCCCAAATATCCAAACTGAATCTAAAGTTGCCCAAAAACTGATTCGTAACCCTTTTGGTACTAATGTTGGAGAGTGGTCCCTGGTCAAAGTGGTCCCTGGTAAAAAAAAAAAAAGGTGTAGTGCTTTCAAGCCAGGTGTCACTGATTCAGTGTTTGTGAATTACTTTTTCTTCTTCATGGTTTTGTTGCTCACAAAAATCTCACCTACAAAAGTTGGGAATCACTGCTATATATACATACTTGTTTGTGAGCCCATAGGCTTTTAACAGCAGTGAAAAGGATAGAGATTAGAGATCATTAAAAAAATTGAGCATAAACCTTGAAGACACAGTTCTTGTTGCAGGCCGCTCTGGGAAGTGTTTACATATATATACCTTAGGAACAAAGTCCTGGATACTGCAAAGGATTTACATAAGGGGTCATGAGAACAGCAGAAGAGGTGGCGAGGGCTCCATCTATTTATTTATTGATGACTTATATATGCCGTCCTTCTCACCCCAAAGGGGACTCAGAGCAGCTTACAAGATAGATAGATAGATACACACACACACACACACATTATATTATTAGCATAATACAATATCAGTATTATATATTACTATATTGTACTATACCATTATATTGTAATAGTATTAGTAATATTACATGTAATAAGATATATAATTATAATATTGTATTATTAGTATTATAGTGTATTACATTATAATATTATAAATAATATATGTATATCTATTATATTATATTATTAGCATAGCACAGGAGAAAAGGTGGAACTGTCTCCTAGTCCCTTTCTTCACTCTGGCCCAGAGCAACAGTTGGTGCTGGGGGGGGGGTCCCAACTGATGACATAGGCAGGAGACAAGGTGGAATTGTCTTCTGGCCCCCTCTCTCTTCACTCTGGCCCAGAGCAGCAGTTGGTGCTGGGGGGAGGGGCTCCCAACTGATGACATAGGCAGGAGATAAGGTGGAACTGTCTTCTGCCCCCCCCCCCTTCACTCTGGCCCAGAGCAGCAGTTAGTGGTGTGGGGGAAGGGCTCCCAACTGATGACATAGGCAGGAGACAAGGTGGAATTGTCTTCTGACCCCTTCTCGCTTCACTCTGGTTCAGAAAAGCAGTTGGCGCTGGGGGGGAGGGGCTCCCTACTGATGACATAGCACAGGAGACAAGGTGAAACTGCCATGTAATGAATGCAGTTTGAAACTGCATCATATGGGATCAAAGATATTTAAAGAACTTATCGATACATGTTAAAGAAAATTATTACAAATTGGTTTGGAAATGGTACTTAACACCAGTAAAGATTGCAAATATTAATAGGAATTCCACAAAAAAATGTTGGAGAGGTTGTCAGGAGGTGGGTACATATATACATATGTGGTGGCAATGTAAATATGTAAATTAATTTTGGGGGAAGGTATTTGGAGAGAGAGAAGCTATAATGGATATGAAGATAGGGAAAAGTGCAAGTATTGCATTGTTGTCATGTTAAGAAATTGAAAAAAACAGAGAAAGATGCAATAGATAACATGTTAACTGCAGCAAGATTACTGATAACGAAGAATTGGAAATGTAAAATAAACATATCAATTGAAGAATGGTATAAAGAATTATGAGAAATAGCAATAAATGATAAATTGACATGTAGGTTAAGAGTCAGAAAAAGGGTATGGAAGGAAAATGATTTTGATAAAAGTTTGGGGAAAATTTATTGAGAATGGCTTAAAAGAAGTAGACGGGAAATTACCTCCACAAGAAGAAATGGTATTTTGGAAAGAGAATGCAAATTGAAGTGGCTCGGAAGGGGGGGGGGCACAGAGGTGGGGGAAAAAGTATACAAGATATATATACACTTTGGTTGATGTAATGAATTGAGGATGGAATATAAGATTATTGAAGGTATTGATGTATTCTAAGAAAACCAGTGGGTTAAAGCACTGAGCTGCTGAGCTTGTTGATCGAAAGGTCGCAGGTTCGATTCCGGGGAGCGGCGTGAGTTTCCGCTGTCAGCCCTAGCTTCTGCCAACCTAGCAGTTTGAAAACATGCAAATGTGAGTAGATCAATAGGTACCGCTCCGGCGGGAAGGTAACGGCGCTCCATGCAGTCATGCCGGCCACATGATCTTGGAGGTGTCTACGGACAACGCTGGCTCTTCGGCTTAGAAATGGAGATGAGCACCATACCCCAGAGTCAGACATGACTGGACTTAATGTCAGGGGACTACCTACTTTAAGAAAACCAATAAAATATTTGGGAAAAAAAAGAAACTGCATCATATGGTTAGTGCAGTTATGATAGAAGTCTACACCAGGCATGAGCAAACTTGGGCCCTCCAGGTGTTTTGGACTTCAACTCCTACAAGACCCTATCTCAGGCCTCAGGAAGGGGCCTGAGGGAGGAATTGAAGTCTTAAACACCTGGAGAGCCCAAGTTTGCCCATGCCTGGTCTACATTGACTATCTCCTAACAGTTTGATTGATTACATGGTTGTATAGCTGGGGCCGAGATACCATCCAATCCATCTTTCTCCCCTCCATCTTCGTTTAGGAAAGGGCAGATCCCGCTTTGCCTCCAGAGCCACCTGGATGGCGGCTGTGCCCTTCCTTCCTTCCTTCCTCCTTCCAAGCGACCTTTTCCTGCCATCACCCCTTCCGCTGGGTTTCCGCCTGGAGCCTGGCCGGTGGGAGGATGCTGGCTCCGGAGTGTCCTAAGCTCTCCCTCTGCCTGCCGCTCTCCCTCTTCACCTCCCTCCCTCCCTGGCTCGCTCGCTCTCTCGCTCTGTCTGGCGGCCCCCGCCTTTTCCCTCCCTCGCTCTGTCTGGCAGCCCCCCGCCCCACTCGACACATCGCCGCTTCTCGCGAGAACTGGGGGATACCGATGCTGCTGCTGCTGCTCCGGCGTCGCCGCCGCCGCCGCCTTGGAGGGGGAGACACACACTGGGGGCAGCCCGTGACGTCGGGAGTTTTCCTGAAAGTCAATAACGAGGTGGCCGAAGAGGAGGAGGAGGAGGGAGAGGAGGGGGCGGCGAAGGGAAGGCCCCGGAGCCGCCCTGGGGAGTCAGTCAGGAGGCCGCAGCGGTCGCAGCCTCGCCCTGACTCCTCCGCGGATGCTGCTGCTGCTGCTGCTGCTGTGGCGGCCAAGCTGAGTGAGGCGCGAGGGAAGGAAGGAGAGGCGCTCTCCATGTAGCCCCCTCCGCCCCTCCTCCCTCTCTCCCTCAGAGCGTCGCCAAGTCGAGGCCCGGCCTGGCGCTGAGGTAAAAGAATCATCATCATCATCATCATCATAATTTAAAAAGAAATACAAGGAGGAAGAGCCGCCGTGAAGGGACTTTCAGCCCGGCAGGGGGGACGAGGGAGGAGGGATTGTGGGAGCCCCCCTGCCCGGAGGAGACGGCGGAGGAGGAGGAGAAGGCGACGGCGACGATGGCGATGCCGCCTTCCCGCTAACGGTGAACATCCATCAACGGCCTCCGCCTGTCCTGCAGGTGAGGCGCGAGCGGGCGCGCGAGGAGTTGGGAACCTGTCAATCAAGGAGGGAGGGAGGGGGGAGTGGAGAGCGGCGGTTAGGGGCGCGCGCCCGCGTTCGAGGGAGGGAGGGGGGAGCGGCGGTTGGGCGCTGGCTGCTGCTCTTGGGGCACGTGAGGTGAGGGCGGGGGGGAGGAGGGAGCGAGTTGCAGGGATGCCTCAGAGCTGCGGCTGGTCACGCACGCGACAGCAACGCCCCCCCCCCCTTTACCCTCTTCCTCTCAGCTCCCCCCCCCTTTACCCTCTTCCTCTCAGCTCCCCCCCCTCTTACTTTCCTCCTCTTCTTCATCCCTTTTCCTCCTCACAATGCCTCCTCCCTCTATCTATCTGTCTATCTTTCTCTATTTATCAACAAGGGAGAGGGGGAGGCATTCCTGGCCTAGCCATCCCTTCAGACAGTGTCTCTGGGCCTTTCCACACACCCCCTATATCCCAGAATTTCGAGGCAGAAAACCCCACGTTATCTGAGTGTGGACTCAGATAACCCAGTTCAAAGCAGATATTGTGGGATTTTCTGGGATATAGGGCTGTGTGGAAGGGCCCACTGATTTAGATAGATAGGGAGATCAATCCTGGCCCAGTAGGATTGTCTTCCAAACCTTCTGGGTTTGATTGCAACGACTGAATCTGTATCCACTGCCCATGGGATCAGTAGCTAGGGACTGCCAAATTTCACAGGGTCCTTCCACCCAACCCTATAACCCAGAATATCAAGGCAGAAAATCCCACATTATTTATTTATTTATTTATTTATTTACTATGCTTATATACCGCTGTATCTCAAGCCCGAGGGCGACTCACAGCGGTTCACAAACAGTAAAGACAATAAAAACAGCAGTAGTTCCATACAACAAATGACAATTGATTTAACACATTCTCCATTAATAACTAATAGGCAATCCCAATACACAATTATTACAAAAAACCCCATACCCCATCGCCTCATCATCCAACCATGATCCAAGTTCGTCGTCCATTGTTCCATTCCTATATTCAGTTACCAGATTGCACTAGATTACTCAAACGCCTGCACAAACATCCAGGTCTTCAACTTTCTTCAGAATGCCATGAGAGATGGTGCCAGCCTAATGTCTGTAGGAAGGGCGTTCCACAGCCGAGGAGCCACCACCGAGAAGGCCCTATCTCTCGTCCCCGCCAACCGTGTTTGGGAGGCCGGCGTGGACTCAGATAACCCAGTTCAACGCAGATATTGTGGGATTTTCTGCTTTGATGTTCTGGGATATAGGGCTGTGTGGAAGGGCCCACTGACTGAGATCGATAGGGAGATCAATCCTGGCCCAGTAGGATTGTCTTCCAAACCTGGGATTGATTGCAACGACTGAATTGCCCATGGGATCCTGTCAGTAGCTAGGGACTGCCAAATTTCACAGGGCCCTTCCACACAACCCTATAACCCAGAATATCAAGAAAACCCCACATTATCTGAGTGTGGACTCAGATAACCCAGTTCAATACAGATATTGTGGGATTTTCTGCTTTGATGTTCTGGGGTATAGGGCTGTGTGGAAGGGCCCACTGATTGAGATAGATAGGGAGATCACTCCTGGCCCAGTAGGATTGTCTTCCAAACCATCTGGGTTTGATTACAACGACTGAATCCGTATCCACTGCCCATGGGATCCTTTCAGTAGCTAGAGACTGCCAAATTTCACAGGCCCTTCCACACAACCCTATTACCCAGAATTTTGAAGCAGAAAAACTCACATTATCTGAGTGTGGACTCAGATAACCCAGTTCAAAGCAGATATTGTGGGATTTTCTGCCTTGATGTTCTGGGGTATAGGGGGCTGTGTGGAAGGGTCCACTGATTGAGATAGATAGGGAGATCAATCCTGGCCCAGTAGGATTGTCTTCCAAACATTCTGGGTTTGATTACAATGACTGAATTGCCCATGGGATCCTGTCAGTAGCTAGGGACTGCCAAATTTCACAGGGCCCTCCCACATAGCCCTATAACTCAGAATATCAAGGCAGAAAATCCCACAATGTCTGCTTTGGACTGGTATATCCCAAGTCCACACTGCCATGTTTTCCAGTTCAAAGCAGATAATGTGGGATTTTATTCAGCTGTGTGGAAGGGACCCTAGATAACCCAGTTCAAAGCAGATAATTTGGGATTTTCTGCCTTCATATTCTGGGATATAGAGCTGTGTGGAAGGGCCCACAGGCCAGCCATGGGACTCTTTGGTGTGCTTGGAAGAGGCTTTGCCTGAATTTGTCTTCCATGCATTGCAACCATCACTTAGGACCCTTCCAGACAGACCCTATATCCTAGGATCTGATCCCAGGTTTTCTGTTTATTATTATAACTTTATTTGTACCCCGCTAGCATCTCCCGAAGGACTCGATGTCCTTTATCCAAAATTATCTGCTAGTGTGGACTCATGTAATCCAGTTTAAAGCTGAAAACCAGATATCAGATCCTGGGATATAGAGCCTATCTGGAAGGGCCCACAGTCTTGGATCTGACCCAGGTTTTCTGTTTATTCCAGATTATCTGGCAGTGTGGATTTATATAACCTAGTTTAAAGCACAAAACCTGGGATCAGAACCTGGGATATAAGGCCTGTCTGGAAGGGCCCACAGTCTTCACAGAAAGAGGTTCATGGATACCACGACGATCAGTGGCCTCTTAGCTGTTGCAGCAAGGAAATAGATAGCAACCCACCCTGTTTATTATCAGATATAATAAGCCCTCTCCTGTCTGTGTGCATGTCTGTCTGCGTGTTTGGCGGGGCCTGTTAGGCTCTTGTAGAGACAGGGAGGTTATGTAACATTAAATTGGGGGGGGGGGGGGGGGGGGGGGAGAAGGGGGGAGGCTAGAGAAGAAGGTCTCTGCTTGGCCACGAGGCACAACACACCGCGCACGCGCGCAGGCACGCAGTTATTTATGTGGGATGTCGCTTCCTTACAAACGGAAGGATGCCGCCTGGTTTGGCTCCCCCTCCCCTCCGCCTTGCCCAGTATCCAGGGCCTCCTCCTGTTTCTTCGGCCACTGGGCTTCCTTTTTACACGCCTCTGTTTCTCCCCGCTTCTCTTCCCACCTCCTACTCCCCTCCCTCCCTTCTGGCTCGTTTTTTTGGATTAGAGGTAAACGTATAGTATAATGGCAATCGTTAATAAGTAATAAATGTTTTATTGTGTCGTTAAAACCGCTCGCGGTGTGCTAATAATAGAAATGGGAAAAAATAGCCTGTTTTTTCCTCGCAATGCATTGCTGAAGGGCTGCTACTGCTGCTGCTGTTGCAAGTAAACAAACCTTTTCCTGAGCATCAGTCTCTGCTGGAGCAGCCATGGTGGATGGATGCCTTGCACATAGAGCAACTGATGGGCATTCCCCTTTCTCAGGCCTGATAAAACACATAACTTGAGACAAAGGCCTGACCCCTTCGCCTTTGAAATGTAGAAATGTACCTTCCCTTCTAAACATAGTCTATTTTAAATATACCATCCTAACACCACGAGTATATGGGTACAAGCCATTTCAGACCCCTATTTTGTCCTGTTCAAACAATTTGGTAGTTTTTGATGACAATTTTATTGTGTTTGCTCATAAATTGTTTATGATGTTACATCATAATGTTGGAAATTAGAACTAATGAAATAATCTAAGTGTTTATTTCTTGGGCCTCAATCCAAGTCTGTTCTTTAAAATAGGATTTATGTTAGATTTCAGAACCAGAGTCCTAGTTTTGAAGGAAATGAGCTATCTGAATATTGTGGAGGTTTGGTAAAATCAGGAAGTGTGGAACTGTTTTTAAGGTGTGGTGGGCTCACTATTAGAAGGCACGCTGTTACTAAATTTGTCTACTTGCATATCACTTTCCCTATTTGTTATTGTAATATATATATATATATATATATATATATATAATCATAATGCATACTAAGGAGTCCCTTCCACATGATTTTTGTAGCTCTCTTTCAAGTACGATATGTTGCAGGCATTCTCAATAATAGTTGCTCGATCATTTAGTACATTACTGATTACTATGTCCTGAGGAGACATATACACAGAAGGTCTACTCACAGGGAGGGCTTGAACTGCCCCTCCTCCTGCTCTTCCAGGCTCCGTGGGTAGGATCAATTATTTATACATCATTTGAAGAAATAAATCTGAAATCTGTGTATACAGTTGTGAAACAGTGATAATGAACAATTTTATTTATTTGTTGGAAAGCACATTTTTTTCATATGTGCACATATACCTACCTTTGTTGGCATATTTGCACATGAAATCTAATATAGCATGAAAACAGTTGTAACATTTTCCATAAGTAGTTTCAATTAAATATATCTCAAATATACATCTTAATGTTGTTTTCAAAATGTTCTTGTTAAAATGTACTCTTGTTTATATTATGCAATTTAGTCATAAGAAAAATATGCTTTTCAACAGATAACTAATTCTTCCTATTTGTTTGGACTACTTTAAAAAGATACTGTAAGTAGGTGTGCTTGTTTTCTTGTAGAGAGTTTTAGATTGACCTCAATATCTTTAATTGGATTGAACTGCTAATTATAATGTATTTGTGTCCTGATTGGTTGAAGTGGGCATGAATGCTTACACAGATACGTCAGAAGAAGAGTACCCAGAATTATCTGCAGTGTCCAAAGTTCTGCATATGTATATTTTATTCAGAAATACTTTAAAAATGTCATGTTGTGGACAAGGATCTCATTTTTTCTTTGATTTTATAAGCATATATTTTTTATGTTGGTTTACCCTAAATTTTAACTTTTATTAATAATACTGAAGGTGTTGTAACATACTCTGTAGTGGTATTCAGAGATATTGGAGATAGTACAATAATAGATTATATGAAGCATTCTTCTTCTAACAGGAAAACAAGTAAGCATTCTGATCTACTTCATGTTTACAAACAAAATCACTTTGTTTGATACAACCTATTCTCAAGAAAAATTGCATAGAAATGAA